GGTACTTATAAGATTGTATCTTAATAACTTTATCATCATGTGATTGGTCTTTATAAGATTTTTATAAACTATTGATTGTCTTTAAATTGATATTATTCTTCAAAAACTATCAACTCTACCTATTATAATAAGATATATATTTTTAATATTTTTACTTCTAAAGCTCAATAATTCTACCAACTATAAAATTTAAGCCACTACTTTATAGTTTTTTATTTTAATTATAATAGACATTTGAATACTATTAATCTATTATAATTAAAGTTTTTTCATAGTAATCAATTATATCTTATGATTTGATCCTTTTTATTTTAATATGTATATACAAATTATACTATCAAAATTTAGAATCCTAAATTAGAATTAAGAATAGAAAAATCTTTCTTTTTAGATAAGAAATAAATTTTAAAATGTAAAATTAAATATAAGTGAAAATATAGATTTACATGTATCCATTTAGGATAGAAATTTAATTCTAAAAACTATGATGAAATAAGTTCAAAATTTGTATGATAAACTAATTGGTAGTTATAAATTAGCAAATATCTAGTATCAAGTTTACTTTAAAGGAAATTGAAAGTAGAAATAGAAAAACAACCATTAACAATCACTTTTAAAAATCTATTTTAAAAGATTAAAACAAATTTTTTTAAAAAATAATTTTATTTAAATACAAACAATAGTTTTTAAAAGTCTAATATTAGTTTGATTCAAATTTTACATAAATGTATTTAGTATTTTAGATTATATAATTTTTTTTAATTTTTAAAATATTTTATTTTTTAAATTTAAAAAAAAAAAAAAAAAAAAAAAAAAAATGTATTCAAGCAAATATAAAGTATTTAAATATGCAATATGAATGGAACTTTGGTCTTTGGAGACAAGCCCATTTTTATTTATTCAATTCTCATCTAGAAGCCAATACTAGTTAATTAAATGTTGGAGTAATATTTAAGGTGTGTTAATAATTATCAAGCATCATTATAGAAATTCCAATTGCATACAGTTAAGTTCAATTAAGAAGATATCATTCATGCTTCTTTGTCATGAATATTTTTATATTCTATTTTGATAATTTATCCATGTTGTATGTGTTTGAACTATCTAAAAAAAGTATATTATATTCAATAAAATTTATAGGAAAAGACTTTGAAAAACAATTGTAGAAGCTTCAAGCAACCATAAAAATTTAGTGTAAAGAAATTCAAAACCAAAGTAATATATATATATATATTAAATACTTCAATTGATATATTTAATTATTTAATGTATTTGAAATTATGAATTTATATCAAAGATAAATTCTTTATTGAATTCACATAAGAAAAACTCCATATTTATGGATAAAAATGTAGTTATATTTTAGAATATTTGTAAGACTACAAATAAACATTGAATTTATATATAATTATTAAATTTCAATGTCAAAAAATATATTTGGCTTAAAATCTATTTTAATATTTTTTGCAATCTTTAAAATTCTTATACGTTGATTATTTATTATAAAATCTAAAATCTAAATTATAATACTTAATATTCATATTTTAATTTTAAAAATTGAAATTTAATATGATATATAAAATATAAAAATTTATATATATATATATATATATATATATATATATATATATATATATATATATATATATAAATTTATATTAATTAGCACACAAACAAACTTTGCATTACATATGTTGGCTACTTGTAGTATAAGTTTGTTATATGGCGTCCATATTGAAAACTTGCCTTGCAAATTGGATATATGTCTTGTAAATTAGAAAAATATTAGATGACCTATAGAATGTTGCCACATAGCTCTTCAGTTTAATTGTACATATAGAGACCAAAGTGATACTTTTTCCATTTTTATCAATGTCTTTTTTTATTCTAGTTTAGTTTTAAGAATCTTTCATCTTCTTGTCTTTAGCAATAGCCATTCTAATTCTTTCTTATATATATATATACATTGATATATATATTTTTTTTATATATATTTCTTGTGTTCTTATCCTTCAAAGTTTATTATCACTGAATTCATTTATTTAAATATATGCTTTTAAATAAGAGTTATTTTTATGTATATTTTTTAAAAATTTGGAGCTAATGATTACTTTTAGAAAATTAAATGACAATATATATAATCAGATTTAAAGTCATTGAAGCTAGATTTTAAGTAACTTGCAAGATTCAAGAGTAGTTTGAAGTTTTTTGTAATGCATTGAGCATAGTGAATATTATTTTTTTTTTTAATTTTAATTAAAGTTGGTCGTTGCTTTTAAGCAATCGAATGATATTTTAAGTGATAGAATTTAAAGTTATTAAAGTTAGATTTTGAATGACTTATGAATGCAATGCAATTCAAAGATTGTTAAAGGTTTTAAAGAATTGACAAGCATGGTTGTGGAAGGTATTGGTATTCACACACTTATTATAGCTTTATTTCTTGGAAGATCACAATAATATCAATGCACTTGGTTCAACCCACTTTAAAAGACTAATCATATAAATGATCAAAATAGACTATAATAGAGCTTTAAGTAAAGAACAACAAAAATGATGATTTATACACATTGTGAGAAAAATATAATTAATTTATACATACACTATTCTACTCTAAAATTATTTTCTAACTATCTTCTAGTAATTTTTTCTTTACATGCAAAAATTTTCTTTGTTGATGCTTGAAGTGCATGTATCCATTTTTTCTTCTTCTTCTAATTAAATCTATTTGTAAAATCTTCAGTTTAAAATGCATGAACAAATAGAAGGGCTTGTTTTTCTTTCTCTAAAACTTTTAATTCTATTATGATATATACACATATAGACATATAGATATGATGTTTAAAAAATCATATTAAAAATATTTATTAATATAATATTTAAATAAAAAATTAAAATTAAAATTACAAATAGAATAATAAATAAATCAAAGTAGTACTATTTCTACTAATGTGTACAGTCAATATTTTAATATTATATATATATATATATATATATATATATAAGAAATTAGATAACCAAGATATTTAACGTATTATGACATTTCCAACATAGATGGTAGATAATTGCACAAATCATCTTACTAATTTATTTTTTAATTTATTTTATAGATAATAAATATCTAAATTATTTTCCAAATAATTACTTTTTACTTCTTTTTTTCTTTAAAAAATTTTTTATTTTTTGTTTGTTTTTATTCATGTATTGATTGATTTACTGATTTTCCTACAACACAAGATTACATCCCTTTTTCTAGAATTCATCACATAGAACTAGAGTTTTATAACTCAAATTTAAACTAATTAGTTTTAAGAGATTTTTTCATGATCTCAATGTATACAAGTAACAATTAATTTTGGAAAATGGTAGAGTATTTACAAAAAGTGTATTTTTTAAAGAATTTGGAGCATTTTCAAAAGTTAAACTCTACATGGAAGTTAGATTCTCCATTAGAGGAAGAATATTCCATTGCCTCTCGCTCGCTTGCTTGCTCTTTCTCATGGTTTGTTGTTTCACAGAAGAACAATGAACAGCTAGATGAAGGCAGCGTGACAATGCGGCGGTGAATCCAAACCCTCCACAACTGAGTGCTAAGATTCCATATTTCAACTGCCTCCGCAGCTCATTACTTCCAGTACACAATTAAAACTGGAGAGCAATGTAGTGCCGATGCTGTTCTCGAGAATTGGCCCATCGAGGTTAAGGGAGGTTTGGATCTTGTTGTATGTTGCTTGTGGGCTTTGTCTGTGATGAGAGCTTGGAAATTGGTGCGCTTTGATTCTTGTAGTTGGGGATTTGAAGAGCGCGCCATGAGGAGTGTTTTGATGCCGGCACATGTTCGCGCTGGTGTTGGGTATCGCGGGGTTGCTTTGGACGTGGTTGTAATTTCATGGCTTCTTTGGGCGAGTAAGCTCATTGCCCGATGGGAAAAGTTGATGACTCTTTGGTTCGGCGAGCGTCATAAAATTTACATATGTATATATATATATATATATATATATATTTTCAAGTGTACTTGTACCTGCTTATCATATAAATTGGGCTTCAATGTGCTTCTGAGTCTTTGGTTTTCCTGACGCTTCCGGTCCGTCTTCGAAGCCCCTGCTGATTGCACCAATATATCCACATGTGAGAGCCTTGCCTGGATTTTCGGCAGCGTAAAAGTCTTTATGTACGTGGCACGTGAGATGACTGCACGAACAATTGCTTCCTCTTGCTGGTCCTACATGAAACCTATGCCTCGTGTTTCGACAACAACCGTCGCACCAATCATAGATTTGCGAGAAATAATATATATATATATATATATATATATAGAATGTATGAAGTAAAGTAAGCTGATGTGTTCACTGCTGGATCCTTAAGCAAGTACAGGAATCCTGCACAAACCTTGTACCAGGCTGCTAGAAGGTTGTTCCACCTGCTGGGAGAAAGAATATCTTCAATTTGAAGTTTACATTTTCCTCCAATAGCCAAATCTAGAAGACCTTGAAATTAAATCTCACTGCTGTGAGGCTTGTTCCCTGTCCATCAAATACCTTTATACTTCCTTTGCATAGTTGCTCGGTCGGTTTCATTGGCAGTGCATTTGAAGCACCTATTCGCATTCACATCACTTGAATGGTAGGTTTCTTTTTTCTTCTTACTACTTGACAAACTTCAAGATGTTACACAATTCATCTGTCAGGATAAACGTTGTACTTAATAGTTGGTACAAAATTCCCAAAAACCCAGTCATTGTCTGGCAAGTCCTCACAGTATTTGAATGCTTCCACTGTCTTTCAAGCCTCAACAGAACCCTAACGAACTGGAGACCTGCGACACATTCATGAACCGTCGAGGAATTCATGACCGACCTATAAGAGGTACATAGTATCACCATTAAGCGGTTACGATTCACGGCTCACGTCATGAGTCAACCTCATGTACACCATGCACAGGGGTTCTTGATTGTTTGTGGTTGTTGTCAAAGGGATATGCAGCCATTAGTTGGAAGAACAAGTAAAGCTGTCACACTTAACAATGTGTGGTTGGGGAATTTATTAGACATCCTTGTATTGTAAGAGTGCAGACAATACGGACAGCTGTTGTGAAACCTATGTTGACTGCTGCATTAGCTGTAGTTGTCACTCCGCGAGTGTACTATGCTGCTATAAGTTAAGGCCCTGTGCTTACTGTGAAGAACTACACCAAATTCTTACACAGATTTAGAGTACCTCTCCAGCTATTTAATTTCCTAGGTCCACAAAAGTGTTGGTCTTCTATTTTAATCGCAATACTAGAGCCGGAGAAGTCAGATATTCAGTGACCAGTAACCAGAGGAACAGGGAATAGAATTCCAAAAAGGTTGGTGGTGTTCAGTATTTCATTTGGTTCAGGGTTTGGCATGTTCAACGCTTTGAACACCAAAAGAGAGCTTGTCCCCGTGCTTCCACATTCACTAACCGAAACGTGCCGCTCCGAGGAAACGACTCAATTGACACAATCGTACATGTGCGGGCGACGCCGTGCAATAGAAGTCGATTGGTCCCTGATGAATCAAAAGCTACAATATACATGAGTTGTCGTTTCAATCGGTACGAGCGTTGGCCGATGAATCGAAAGCAACTCTGCCGACTCCAGACCTCACCCCAACAGAAGAAAAAAAATAAGAGTTAAGCTTCGCTATTTACTTCGTGACTAATACCCAATAAACCCTCTCCTCCAGATGATCATGAAAAACCAGCGTTCATGACATCAATCTTAATGTAACCAAACCACCAGATTTTTATGTACAAAACCTTCATTAACCAAGCTTCAAATAGATACCCGTCAAAGTAATTCGACCTCTTTGTTGTGGATCCAGCTGAAGGCCTTCCGGCGAGGAGTCTCCCCCTTCGTCCGGTTGTGAGATCGCTCCGCCAGCCTAAGGATCCTCACCGGCAGCCGGCAGACAAACTCTTGTGCTTGCTGCGCTTCGCTAGACAGGCCCGTCAAGGATTCGATGTTCCAGACCTTGATCAGATGGCTCATAATGGATGCGTAGTCGTGGGCTGTGTAGACACCACAGCGCTGGGCGACTGATGCGTAGTCATCAAAGAGCCTGGGGTTCTCTCCGTCGTGCATGAGGTGCGCCGGCATGGTGATTTTCTTCTTCATCATCTCCTGGAAGGACAGCATGGCGCCATTGGGGTCAAGCTCGAAGACTTTGCTCATAATGCGGCTGTAGGCGATTTCGTGCCGCTTCTCGTCTGAGGCGATGATGCCGCAGATCGTAGCCAGCTTGTGCTCGCCGAACTGCTTGGCGTGGCGAGCAGTGTTACCGTGGGAAATGAAAGTCGCGCGCTCCTGAAAGGACGTGTAAATAAACCCGTTGTAGGGGTTTTGGTCAATCTGGGGCTCCATGCCGGAGCCGATCAGGTACTGAGTGGTTCTCTCCACCATGCGCATGTCCACTCGGCCGCAGAGGTAGAGGTAGCGATTGAGCAGGTCGCCGTGGCGATTCTCCTCCGCGGTCCAGGCGCGTATCCACACGCCCCATGGCGTTGGGCTACACCCAGTCTTGTCCCGCACGCCTTCGAACGTGTTGAACATTGTCTGGTAGGTCGGGAGGGCTTCTTCCGTGATCATATCGCCTACCAGGCAGACCAAGTAATCATCAGGGAGCTCCCTCGCCCGCTCCCGAAGCGCTCGCACGTCTTCGAAGAAATTATCCGAGGAGCTATTTGGGAGAAAGTCTTGCGGTTGCCATGACTTGGCGACGGGTTTCAAGAGCGGGAGAAGATTCTCTTGTGCCCAGGAGTCTAGTGCGGCGATCACCTCCAGCTTCTCCAACGGAATGTGATCGGGTCGTCGTTTCCTCAGCTGATATGGCGCCAATACCTTCCCCAGAGAGGTGTCCACTTGACCTACCTGCATCTCTCTGGCATCAGAAAATTCTCACGTTATCCTTCACGAATCTTTGCAAGTCCAACGAAACTAGGAAGAAAACCTCTGGGCACTGATAATCATTTCCCAGCATCCATTACTCCATGATGGATTACTGTGCATGTAATGGGAGCTGGAAAGTGAGTGTGGTACTGACCTGGGAATAGAGGTAGTCATGGCAACTTTCACCGGCTTCCACCCCCGCACGCTTGAGGTCAAGTATGGTGGCTTGCCTTCTTCAAGTCTTGGCCTACCAGAGAAGGAAGGTGTCGACAGTGCATTGACCCGCATTTGCGCTTCCAGAGGCCCCTTCATCACCATGGCTGATCGAGTGAGTTGCTAATCAACTGAGGGAGAAAGATCAATGAACAGATAGAATTTGTAAAGACCTAAACCAGCCTTACCCCCAAGTAAGGACCTGGAGCGGGGTTCAGAAGATGAAGAGGGGCAAAGAGGGAAAAACGCTTCCAACGACTTTATAAGGCTACTAACGATTCATGATAGACGACGAAAACTACACTTCTTCAGTGAGCCAAAACGATTCACACACGTGAGAAGCACCGCGTGGTTGTTTCCCTTCACTCTTCATCAGAGAATTCATTCACCGACCAATTTGGAATCCGTGAGTGTGACCCAAATGTTCTCTCAATCTCGCACCCTTCTTACAATGATGTATTGAAAGCTAGCGCCATTTCTCATGACTAGACACCAACTAAACCTCCCAGAGGCAAGGAGTTACCATACTAAGCAATGCAGATGTCACGACCGTTTCACGAGAATACGGCTCCAGAAGCAACAGTTTCAACTACTCATTCTCAGAAGCCGCCCGACATATTTTCTACACAAGTCACCCGCACACACCGCTACTCTTCTCCGTAACGCCCACACATATCCCGACACTCCCAGTCTACCCCAATCCAACCTGCAATGCCAGTCTCGTCACGTACTACCGACCCCACACTGAGCTTTAAATGCAGCGACACAACTCAAGAGAAACGAAAAGCGACGTAGCTGCAACCCGGGTAATCTGAAACCAGCAACAACCGACTGTAAACGCCCCTCAACCACCACTCGAGGAAGAAGCTCAAAGACTACTGAGAAGCTGGTGTTTGTCTTCAATGCCACGGCAGTAATGCGGGTGCAGACCAATCCCCGAGAGAGAGAACGAGGTGAGTGATGGTGATTGGCCTGAGTTTGTAGGCAATGGAACAGTCCCGGGCTTTGCAACCCAATGATGGCGTTGGTGAGGGAAATGCGTCGAGCTGGGGCTGCTTAAAACCCGGAGCCCTAGGAGGCGGGAGTCCAGGCACTCCTCAGATTGTTTGGACCGGCACCTCTGACGCCGTTTCACGATTTCTGTCTCTGATGCGGCTCGCAACCCCCCCCCCCACCACCACCATGTGTAACCCTGCCGCTTTGACAGGACACCTGACGCCCTACCACCGCGGATGTCCGATGGATGAACGTCTCATGGATGATCGTTTCCTAAAACCTTTTCGGGCAGACCGACTGCCCTTGTCCGCTGCCCCTCCAAAAACGGGGCCGCGGACATGACCAGACCAAACAGGGGACATGGCCAGTATTAATGTCAAAATACCTTAAACCATGTCACATTCCTTAATCAACCCATAGACTTCACCTAAACCACCCTCGCACAATCCCAAAACTGCCTCTTTGTCTTGTAGAAAGATTCTGTATACATTCCAAACCCATCAATGATCAGCAAATTTTACAAGAATGAAGGGTGCAGTTTAGTGTGATGGAAGTGCACTGTTTTGCTCAAGTCTATACCTTGATTCAAGGGTCAAATGCAAAAACTGCTTTATTAATTTTAATCAATTCAACCACTGTGGTGATTCTTTTTCTTTCTTTCTTTCTTTCTTTTTTTTTTTTTTTTTTTTTTTTTTTCTTCTGTAGGAGCACATCAGAACCTTATTTCTCCACCAGAAAGAAAACCAAAAAACCAAAAAAATCCACCCCCCCCCCGAAGATAGCTAAAACACCTTAAGTTGATGGTTTAAGGTATTCCAACTTTTATGTGGCACAAGCACCATCATGACACCAGGGCTGCCACCCTTTGGCAAACCGGGCTGGCGAGGTGAAGATGTTGGGGCCCTGCCCGAGCCCTCCAGTGGATGAATGAACTATCCATCGTTCATCCGCGGAAGAAGGTCCTCCCTGGTGCGCGGGCATGGGGTGATAATTCACACTAGTGTACTGCAGCTTTTAACCCGCTGTCCAGAACTGCAGCTTATGAAATCTCAGCGCTTGCCTTGACTCTAGTATTGAAAGCTCACTCATGCTGATGAAAATGCCACTGCTACTGCGTTAACGCGGTGGGTGAAGGTCATGCAGGAGCAGGAAGGAACCCCTCAATGCAATTGGGCTCTCACGAAGGACTACGGATGAGGAAAAAGCAGCGAATCTCAGAGCAGGAGGAAGAAATCTAACATGCGTGTTGCGCTCCGGTGGAGTGCACAGAACTGTGGGAATGAAGTAATAGAGCAAAGTGTAATGAAACCTTGCTGGAAAAAGAAAAGAAAAACTAGGGTAGTCTACAGATCTGAGAGATCGAATTTGGGTTCAGGTTGCGTTTTCTTTATTCTTTTATTTGACCTGACAGATGTTTAGTAAAGATAGAACACAAAAGCGCTTTGGACGGATTTTGTTTCCAGCAACCCACTGTCGGCATGCTGCTTTGTTTAAATTCTATCCTTACCTTTCACCACGTCGAATGAGAGTGCATATATTTATGTATACAGGACTGGACTCCGAGAATGTACATATTTATGTATACAGAGAGCGAGAGAGAGATACTTTCGATTGTTTGCTAGTGATTCAGTTTTGAAGAGGTGATTCGAACACGTAGACTTCCTGATATTTCAGATACTGCTAATTCAAGCCGTGAGATTACTATGAATACGTAGGAAACCAGTACAACTCGCCGTAGGGAGGGGAAAGCCGAAGAAAATGAAAAAGAACACTGAACATCCGTTGAACTTTTTTCGACATTTCGCTGGACGACGCTTTATTGCTATTTAGTGTGCATATTGTGCCGCTGTGTAGTTTCCCCGTCTGAAAGACAAGAACCTTTCCTGACTAGTTTCGAGAAATAGCTCACTTTTAGAAAATAAATATTCACGTGATTGACCAATCCTTTCGGGAAATGTTTAAGACTAAAGATGGCAACGAATAATCCGGTTTCATTCCATCGCAAAAAGCACCCAAAGTGGTAGTACTTCCAATTTTGGGGCTACGACCAATGCAGCTCGCTGGGTTGAAGGTTTTTGCTGGTTGTTTTGGGGATGGTCCAATTTGATGCTCCCTGAAGCCTGTGCATGAGGAGTTTGTCTCCAAACGTAGGAATCGTATAGCTCAATGCCCCAAGTCACGGAATTTAGTGGAAACCTAAGAAGGCTGATGTTTGTGAGCTATCTCAGCCAGATAAGATGAGACTCCAACCAGTGAGCTTGACGCCATTCACTCGCGCACGATGGCCACGGGCTTCGCAACATTATAACAGCTCTCATCAGTTTGTATTTATTTTTGTTCTCTTTTTACTCATTTATTTGTTTGTTTTCCTTTAAGTTAACTCCCTGCATGTGGACGCAACTGTCACTATGCTCTTGAGGGTCAGTAAGCCTCTCAACCATCGCTCTCTACTCATGGCCCCCTTCGCCATTGCTCGCTGAACCAATGTCTTCCTCTCGCTCTTCCTTCCTTCCTACCTTTTCTTATCCTCTTTTCTCGTGTGTGCGTTTTCATACGGTTTTAATGGCAGTTAACTGAAATCAAAGCCTTGCTTAACCTGCGGGGATCAGCGTCTGAGGAGGAGGTTAAGCATGACCGATGTGAGAGTTGAACGGCCGACTCTGTAAGATTCAGTCACCTCCCTGACAACAGAGAAACAAGTGTTTTTCCAAGTGAATTCGTTTTGTTTTTGTTTTTGTAATTTTTTTTTATTATTTTTTTATTATTTTTTTGGTTTATTGGGTTGCTGGGGGTAGGCGGTCCATGATTGCACCGTCTGCATAGAGCTATGAAGTCATGCTGCTGCCACACTGCAGTGGGAGGGCCTGGAGTTATGTGAGCTGCTACTGCTACTGCTGCTACTACTTACTGCCCGCCCTTCCACAGAGGTTGAGTTTCTCCAGCAGCTCATTGTCAGAAAGGGAGGAAAGGGAAACTTCTCTCTCCTCAGCTGCACCCACACACTACGGCAAAATCTCTTTCCCTCTCTTCAATTGGGCTTCAAAACCAAGCTCTTCAGCAACTCCGACAGGCCTGGCTTTAATTTCACAGTCCAGGGGTTGTTGTGAGAGGACGTGCTTGAAGGGAGATATTTTTGAGGGTCCTCAGTTGTGGTGTGTGTGGTATGCGTGGGAAGGAAAGGCAGGCCAGTTAGCCCTTCCACACACTTATAGTTGCATTAAACGTACCTCATCAAGCATTTTTCAACATAAATTGCAACGTTGATTGTAGATGTAAAGACCTTGTAAAACATTTCCCTGAAACTCACTGTATATATAGAGCATGCTTTGCCCAACAATTTAGAATTTAAATAAATATAAATATGTCTAGATTATTTTATATAATTTTTGATATGATTATCATTAATTTCAGATTTTATTTTTATTAGTTTTATAAACTTATACAATCATTTTTTCAATAATATGTACTAATAACTTAGCCTTATTAGCATCTTTCTAATAAGTAAAGAGAATATTTCTAAATAATAATATTTTTTTTAAGATATTGTATATCCAACTTAACTTCCTATAATACAAAATAACCAATTTAATCCTCTAATAAATTCTTATATAACTTGATTACTGCCACTAGACCATTTTATAAACTAATTATTTATTGTATTGATCATGGAAAAACTTTTTCAATGAGAATTGAAATACTTCATTTAGATTTGAATGTGAAATGTGAAATTTAAAACTGTACACTTAAAATAGAAATTCTGGTAAAATATACATTCAAATCTATTATGCAATATATATATATATATATATATATATATATATAAAAATTGCATTTCTAAAATCTTGAAAATGAAACTAAAAGATTCAAAATAAACATATATATATGTCTATATATATATATATATATATATATATATATATGTGTGTGTGTGTGTGTGTGTATTTATATATTTATGCATATAAAAGGTGGTAAAATAAATTTTAAAAAAAAGTACAAAGTATGATAAATTTTAGAAATTTAATATTTTTAAATGATAGGAAGCATTAAAATATTTCTGAAATAAAAGACACATACATATAGGTTAATTCTAATTTAGTGTAAAGAACTATAATAAATTTAAGTTTCATTTTCAAAATTATTATGCAAAAGCGTAATAATATTTTTTTACAAAATAAAACATTAAATTTTTATTAATAAAATAAATAGTGTTAAAATATTAAAAAATAAGTATTGTAGCCTTGATTACATTAAAATTTAAAGTTTTTCTAATGCACAAAATATACTAGAAAATAATTCACAATTATTTTATAATATTTTTTTATTTCAAATAAGAGCTGTAGATCATTAGAAATATATATATATATATATATATATATATATATATATATAAGTATATAAAGACTTGTCAATGCTACATCCTCAATTGATATTGCTACATCCCACATGACCTCCACACAACTTAAATTGATTAAGAAAAGTGCATCTAGGCTTAAGTCAAGTTTAGAAGTCTAATGTTTAGCTTCAATATTGATTAAAAAATAGAATAAATTTTTTAAAATTGTGTTTTTAGCAGCCTTAAAAAATGCTAGTTTTAATTTAAAAATATTTGACAAAAGTAATTTTTAAAAATAAAATAAAATAAATAGCTTGCTACATATTTTTTCATAAAATATTTGATGTCTCTTTTTTAATTAACACATTATTTTAAAGCAAAAAAAAATAAATATATATATATATATATATATATATATATCTAGTTGTCTACAAGGAAGTCATGTTGGTTGTTGCAATATCACTTGGAGATATAGTCTTAAAAATTACATATATTAATATAAAGACACACAAAAGAAGTATGAATTAACTAAAAAAATAGTAAGATAAGTAGGTGCATGCAAAACTTGTGAACTACAATAGATCACAAAGTGTATATTTATAATTGGTTCAAAAATTAAAAATAGATTATATCTCTTTATGACATATATATATATATATATATATATATATGTGTGTAAGTACATATATAATACTTGTGAAACATATGGATATCAAAAGGACTATTTGAAAATCATTAAATTTACTCTTACTAGAATTAATAATAT